GCTCTTCAGATCTGGCCCCATATTTGACAGCTCTGTAGGCCATTTCATTATAGCAGGTGATTCCTGTTGCTGCTGATCACATCAGCCAGAAGAACAGAGCACGGTCTGAAGACTCCTGCAGATGGGTTAACCACATGCAGGGCTGTTCACGTGGTCCTCAGAGTCGCAGCTTGTATTACTACAATGCTTGGCCCTCACGACTCGCACTGTATAAATAAGTTGCACAGTCAGCCTGATGAAATTTGAAACTTCAAGTTTTCATTCCAGCCAGCTCACAGAAACGGTCTACTTTGCCATGACTGTGCAGGGACTAGTTATAAAATCATCAGATCCCTGAAACTCCCTCCTGCAAGGTCTCCTGCTCTCAGAGAAGGGAGGGGGGAAGGAAGGAAAAACATCTGCATCGCCACAGCTGAAATCCCAAGCCCCTGTAACATGTCCGCAACCAGAAAAGGGGGAGGGAATGTCACAGCTACTTGAAGAGGGACAGGGGTTCCCCCTCAGGGGTGAGGCCTGGCCCAAAGCCCACAGGAGCATTTCCCTGGACTCCCAATGAATTAGATGTAAAGCAGAGCCCAGCTGGGCCCAATAGTCTCTGCAGCTGCCCTGCTCTCTCCAACAAGAGGTGGCGTTCATCTGTTCCATGCGATGCTGGGGTCTGGACTAGATGACCTCAGGAGGTCCCATCCAACCCTACTTTCCTATGCTCCTATGATCCCATGCCAACTCCTCCAGCATGTTTCCAAGGCAGTCTGTCACTGCATGAAGGCTGAGGAAACCTATGTTAAAATATGGCCTGGGTGCCATTCTTTGCAAACAGCACTGCCAAAGGATGGGCTCTTCGTTCAAGGCCTCCTTAAACATTCGAGCTAATTCATCACCTCCTTGGCAGCTGTGCTGAAATTATTAATGCCCAGCCATCACTCATAAGTGCTCCCCACTTAACGCCCATCACCTACCTCCGTGCGAGGGAGATAGTCCGGATCTGCCTGGATCCTGGCTATAACCTCACAGAGAATTATGCCGTAGGAGAACACATCCGCCTAATGAAGGGGAAAAAAAAAAAAAAGCACATAGCTCAGTTAGGAACAGTCCGTGTCCTCACCTGCCACCAGGTTTCCCCTGCCGTAAGGGGGTTTCAGAGGCTATCCAGAACCCATTGCTCTGACCCCGACCACTAACAGTAACACAACTCACACTTGCAGCTGAGGAAATACATGCCCACGGCAGAGTGCTCTGGCAGCACTGATGCCAAAAAGAATGACACAATCACAGACAATGAGGGTTGGAAGGGCTCTCAGGAGGTCACATCTAGTCCAGCCCCCTGCTCCAAGCAGGACCAGCCCCAATGCTTTCACCTGCACACAAACATTTCCTCAAGTCACTGCTGCTCCAGAGCATGACGGAAAATGAAAGCTCGCTCCAAGCCAAAAGGGGTAAAATCGCAGCCGACATCCCACAGCTGTGAGCAATCACAAATGCAGCCAAACATGACATGACGGCAGACTGGAGCGGTTGGGGAGCAGAATTGAGAAGATAAGCGATCGCTGCCTGCCTAGAATGTTAATGCAGGTAAAAACTCAGTCCATTCTTCCTTTTCCAGGTTAAATACTTCTTTGTGAAATGCCCACCCAGGTGTCAGGAACCCAGCCACCTCCACCCACTCCAGCTGCAGCATCCTGCATGCACCATGCCTACTGATCACCTGTCCTACACACCCTGATGTTCTGTAGGTCCCAGATTCTCACTTCACATTTGCCCACGTTATAAAGCTCAAGCGAACAGGGAATCCAGACAACAGAGCAGTAGCAGGGCTCCTCTTCAGACACTGAATACGAAGGTCTATTTACACGACTGTCAGCTTTTGTGTTCATTAACAAGCAGGGTAATGTGATGGCCTTACAGCTTTGGGTCTCCCAAGGAGAGCAGGAAAAGGTGTGCAGGACATGAGAAGTGGAACGCACACATCTAACGATAACCAGTTTGCCATGGTAATGTCTACATCCAAGAGTACTTGGTGCTGCTGGCAAAAAGGGTGGAGGGTGTGGACTTTACACAGGAAAGCAGCATTCCCAAGACAGAATTCACTAAAATTCAGTTTCCACCAGGATTGTGCGTGTCTATATGCACATGCATGCATGCATGCACACACACGCAGCCTGAAGGCTGCTTTCCAGTCTGCCTTTCTTCGTTCCTTCTCTGCCCTAGCTACATGATGCCATGAGAAAGGGGGCTGGCAACGATTCTTTAGAAGAGTTCCTGTCTAGGAAAGTCAGATTTAGAAATTTGGTGATGAAATGTGGAACCTCTGCTTTTTCCAATTCCATATTGCATGTGGTCACGCAACCCCCCTCATTCCATCTACGTTTCTATTGCAGAAAAGCTCCCTTCACATCCAAAAGGCAAGAGGAACCCAACAAATTGTCTACTCGTGTTGCACTAAGCTCTGCTAAGCAAAGATGCAGTAAGACAGGAGCATCAAACATATGGCCCAAGAGCTGGAGCTGGCCCATGGAGCCACTTTATCTGGCCTGCCAGACTACCAGCATGACCTGCCGCAGAACCCAGGGCTCTCGGGCCCTGGTGGATATAGCGATCAGCAGCAGGAAGGCAAGCAAGGGCTGACAACCCTGGTCACCCTCCAGCTGCTCTGTCCATCTGTACTGCTGCAGCCTCATCTCCCTGGCCACCAAAACCCACTGCACAACCTTTTCTGGAGCTCCCTCCATGGCACAGCACCAACCCTGGCCCCAGGATGGGGCACATGGTGGGGTGAAGCCACTGATGCATGCCCCAGGGTGAAGCCAGAGCTGCCACTGCTGCTGCAACTTCCTCATGCTGCAGTCTGGATCTGATCTGCAAGGAGCTCCACAGTCCAGATCCGGTCCAGGGCACAGGAGAGTTTGACACCCATGCAAGTTAGGGTTTGTCTACATAAGGAGTTATTTGGAAATAGCTCTTCTGGAATAATTTTGTCTCTGAGGAACTCCATGTGTGAACACACTTATACTGAAATAAGAGCATCTTGTTCCAGTTTAGCTTCACCCACTTTATTCATGAATGAAACCAAACTGGAAAAAGGCAGCTACCTTGACTCTTGACTAAGACAAAGCATGCAAGGAGCTGTTCAAGAAGAGCTGCTGCCTTTTGAATTTGCACCCAACCTTAATCTGAATTAAATGTAGAAGCAGTCGTGTTGTTCAATTAGAGGTACAGACAAGCTTCAAAGTCTCTGATAAACCACAAAGTCTGCCTTGGAGAGACGCTTCCAAAGTCAAGCTCTATTAGACATACCCACCTTTTCATTGTAAGGTTCATCTTTGAGAACTTCAGGTGCCATCCAGAAGGGCGAGCCCACCACTGGCAGCTTCTCACTTTATACATGCAAAGGAGGGGAGAAGAGAGAGGAAGGAAGCTGTTCATGACATGCTCTTGGCCTGGCATTTAGGATCAGAACTGGCAGGGCCCTCACCCAGTCCAGTTCAGTGTCTCGGACAGACATTTGTCTGACCTGTTCTTACAAACCTCCAGTGACAGAAATCCCACAACACCCAAGACACCTGTTTCACTGTGTCACTACTTTCCGATAGGAAAATTGGTCCTAATATTAAACCTGAGGCTACATTTTTGCAAATTAGGCTGATTTCCTCTTACCCAGAGGATAAAGAGAACAACTGACTCCCTCTTTCCTTGTAACCACCATGTATGTGCTGCAGTTTGAGAGAAGAATGAACCAATATTGAGAGACAAGTCCATTTTCATACACATTTTCCTTGTGGTGAGGAAATGAATGAAGCACCAACGTTTTGGTTTTTTTTTTTTTTTTTAAATCAGCACGGCATTTTCCAAGCCTCAACAGCCGCTTTCAGCAGGGGGAAGACAGTGCTGGCTGTTTGCATGTCATTCACACTGACTTCTGCTTTCTGTGCCCAGCAGGTGATGGGCAGTCCAAGGGCCGGGTAGGGAATAAAGTACTGGACTTTTGCTAACTTACATTATTTCTGTTTCTCTAAGTGCTGCTCTAAGAGCAGTAGCCTCTTTCACTAGGAGACCTTGGACCCCATCAGTCTCCAAGCTATAGGCAGAGCAGTCTCCCTGCTCTAGACTCAGGTTCATGAAGGTCTTTATTCCTAACTGGATTCTCCTGGAGGAAAGGGACTTTTTCCTTGATTTGCTGCATATTTTGGAGGATTTGCTGTAGGCAGTTCTGATAGGAACTCATCCTGGGAAGTCGAATCTCTGGCACTGTGATGAGGCCTTTCAAAATTCAGAAATTCCCTTCATTAGTGAGAAAGAAGGACGTTTAGACTGAGGCCCGTGTGTTAAATGTAAAAAGAAAATCCTTGACGGGTGACTGACAAATAGTTTCTTTAAAATAAAGCCAAAAAGAACTGAGTTCTAGTGTAAATCCCTTAAGTGATTTAAGGAAAGAGAGGGAAGCAGTCAGGACGCAGCTGATTGTCAGTTTGGTCTGTATAACCTACAATACCGCCATGCAGCTGGAGCTTGCAGCCTCCGTTACCAGCGTGCAACGTACAGCACCAGTTCACGCTTATCCCAAGCCTGACCACAAAGAACCACCTCTGAAAACCAGGCGTCTTCATTGGGAAGCAGGCTCTATATGCCATGGCAGTGTCCCTCTGTTTCTCTGGCATCCCAGTCCAAGCTGGAAATTATGTGGCCGGACCTATTTAAATTTGAAAACTGAGACTGGACTGAAATAAATACGAATGGTGTAATCATTATGGACCCATCACATTATTTTGACACTTGTGCCCAGTTTCAAGCTGTCTCTACAGTCCCAGTTTTCTGTGGGTCTCAGAAAAGGGCACTGACAATGCCCAAGTCCACCTGGGGTTTGGCATGTGGAAGATGGATATTTTGATGCCTTCATCAAGGCTGGCAGGAGGTTTCGGTACCTGAGGCAGCATTGGAAAAATAAAATGTGTTTGACTTTCCTGCCAAATGTATCGCTAGCGGCAGGAGTCAACAGCACTGACGTTTACACGGGCGCTGTGTGTTTCTGCATCAATGCCCCACTTAGATGAATGGAACCCACTACACCTCCCTGAACTACTGTTTTACATCTAAAGCAGTAGTTTTCAGCCTTTGTAGACTCAAGGCGCCCTTTGATAGTCTCAAGATGCCCCTTGGAAAATGCCAGCTCATTGTTTTCACTCTTTTTTTGACTACCAAAAAATACTAGAGCAATTAGTCTGCTGCAAAGAACTCAGAAAGGTTGCAACAGGTCTGGACGCTTGTAACCCTATGAATTCCTGTTTGCAATCTCTGGGTTTATTTGTGAATCATGCTTGCACACCTATCAGTGCTAACACTGTGTGGCACCCATGAAAGGATCCCAGGCACCTTAAGGTGCTATGGCATCCCGGGTGAGAATCACTGGTCTAAAGTCAGACAACACTCTAAGGTGGGCTCGTGTTATGTCCGCAAGGAAGACAGCTGAAAGGCTAAAAGCATTAAATGAAATCTTTGATTGAGGCTTCATTTTGTGGCAACACCCACAGACACAGAGGAGGCTGCCTAAAGAGAAGGGGTAACAGCACTATTTCCTTGGTCTCCCTACTGGAGGGCTAATACGATGATGGCTAGAGAGATGGTCACCTGCTCATCCCTCAAATGGATCATGGGTAGCATCTTAGTCCCCAGCAGCCCAAACAGTCACCAGATGGCAATGCTGTCTGGTTGCAACCATGGATCTCAGCAGCTTGCCAGAAGCCCGTGAAATTAAGAAGCAACTAATTAAATACATCTGGAATCACTGGCGAGGGCATTGATTATGGATCTTCCCAATTCAGAATGATGGATAGTTCTGTACAGAAAAGACCCAAACACCTGCTCTGGAAATCCACTGAAATGCTTGGGCAAGCCCTCTAATCACTGAAGCATTTTAAAGGATAAGTGCCACCATCAAAGTCTATCACTGTGCACTATAATTAGCCTTTGGAGCATTTTGCCCATCTCCATTCAGCTCACAGCTCTTGCCTCAAATCAGAGGTTGTTCTCTGCGAGTCACATCAAAGCCTAATAATGACCCTCCGGCATTCAGCTTCACAGATCACAGCCCTCCTCTGGCGTGGAACCGTGCCACACTCGCTCTCCTCATCTTGAGTAGCAACCAAAGACCATACATACCTGCAATCAGGGATTTTCTCTGCTAAACCAAAGTCCCCTACGATAGCTGAGTATCCATTATCGTCATGCTTTATTAAGCAGTTCTGAAAGTGGAAAGAAAAGGGGAAAAAATTTAAGACAGTATGGGTTAAAAATCCCCTGACCAATCCATATATATATATTTTTTTAATTGCAACAAGATGATTAGAGTTGGTTTGGAAGACAGAAGACCCACTTGAGCCAAGCTATGCATACGTCAGTCAAACCTAGAGGTGCTGAAAAAAAGCCATACAGTTACACATTTTAAAAAAAACTTGCTGAGACAGCAGATTACCAGAGATGGCAAGTACCCAGCTTTTAGCAAGAACTAGAGTGGTTTAACCCCATCCTGTTGGTCTGAAATAAACCCTGAACAACCCTCAGAGTTTGCTTGGACTAAGCCAGAACACCCCAACCTGTCTGACTGATGTTATCTGAGAGGAGAAGGATCTTAAACACACTTTTGTCCTATGGTTTTCCAAAAAATAACTGTTTTTAAAACCATACTGTAAGGGCACTTCCTTATGAACAGCTTCCAGTAGGAAATGAAAGTCCTAGCAGGCTGTTAAGTCCCAAATTAAGTCACAGTTGTGACCCACAGCACAGCATAAAGCATCACTTGAAGGGTGCAGATACGAGGAAGAAAAAAAGCCATTAAAAATGTAGTCTTTTCCTTTCTAATCCCTCCTCCCCCTCATTTAATGAAACATTTAGGCAGAAGCTGAGGCTGCTCCAGTCCTGCAGCCTCCCAGCACAGGGAGAAGCAGGATGGGAGGATCAGTGCAATCTCTTCCTCCTCCTCCTCCTTCCCAAAAGAGTCTTACTGGGTTTTACTCCATCCACCCACCACAGAAGAATGCATCCCACGGTTGCATTTCTTGCTGCCCACACAAAGATGCAACACAGCGATAGGCAGCCCTCTGCAGACTTCCCCAGACTGGTACCTTGCGATAACAGCTAGGAGCAGGAAACTTGCTGTGCTGACTTCATTGTGCGCAAAACCCCTCGCCCCCACCACTCCCCACCCCTGTGTTTGTCCGGAAAAAGCATCTGCTCAAAAGAATGCTTCCCTTGTCTGGAAGATCAAATGCAGATCACCATCCATTACATACAGAGATTACACTAGCCCCGTCTGCAAAGTAAATGTGTTTTTCCTTCTCTTGATTAAAAGGTTAAATAGGCCAGTCTCATATAAAGAAAATCCGGCAGGCTGCCTTAGATTCCTAAGTGCAAAGGCCTATTTGTTTAACATGACTCAACTATAATAAATAGTTGGCTTTGGGATGCCTACATTTATACTCAGTTAAGTGAACCGCACAGGCCCAAAGTGCAATGAAGCTGCTCAATTATGGGCTTTGTTATCTCTTATCAAAGAGCGCATTCATCTCACTCGCCTGCGATTGAACATGTGTTCGTTATAAAATGCATCCGAGTGCTAGACAGCTAAACATTTCTCAAGCCCTACTGTGATGGCTTGAATGGAGGCGCCGTTGCATCATATTCAGTACCGAACCAAGCAGAGAAGGACAGTAGTAATGTCACAAGCACCATATAACAGGTTGGTGGGGTGAAAGGTTGGACTTTTAAACTACTCAGGTCAAATTTACAATGGAAAGTCAGGTGACAAGTCATGTTGAAACTGCTGCCCGGCAGGTTTTATACACCCCGTCCATTATTCACACAACAAGAGCTGGGTTGGAGCTGGGTTTGCTTCTCCCCGTTCAAACCCACTGTTTACTTTCTGCATCTGGCTCAGGTCAGACAGAGAGAAATCGGCCGATTCCCTTCACCCCCGGCTCTCCTGCACTGGCATGTTGCTTCAGCAAGCAGTTTGCAAAGACTGCAGAACTCAGAAATGCTCGTGCTGGAACTGGAAGTACATGGGGACATTTCTACCACCCTGATGCTCCACAAACGTTTGTGTCTTCTTGAAGAGCAACCTCCAACTTGCATCAACCTGACATCAGGGACCCCTTTATCACTCAGTGCCACAGTTGCAGCCTCTGCTCACACCTGTAAAACCAACTCTTAACCTAAGCAGGAGCGTCAAACGTACAACCTGCAGGATGCATGTATGGAGCCGTGCTGTCTGGCCCAGGGGGTCCAGAGGAGCCAAGAATTTGGGGGTGAGCAGGGGCAAGGCCTGCTGCCAAAATTCAGGGTTTGGCGCCTTGTTGGGGGATGTGTTGTCAGCAGGGGGCAAGTGATCTGTCACTGCCGTGTGCAGACCCAGCCCACAAGAAACCCTGCAGACCAGATCTGGCCTGTGAGAAGCACTGAGGTTGACGCCCCTGGTCTAACGGGGTCCCTTGATAAAGGCGAGTCATGTTTTTAATCAACCTTCATGCCCACGTCCTGCACTCAGCTACTGCCAAGCCCAAATCCAAATGCCCGATTCACAGCGCACAGCCTGGCTCCCCGGCGATGTTTGCTGACGGCTGCGACCTCGCTGCTCTGCAGATGGCTCTGCAGCACTCGCAGATTGGCTCCAGGGTCTGTTTTGGAGTGGTTCTTTGGAAGGAAGGAAGCAAAGCAGTTACTACACCCCACTGGCTGAGCGTCCTCCCATCCCCATGTCTGATGTTATTACCAGCGAGCCGGCGCGCGAGGCCAGAACTCAGGACAGGCGAGGGGAGAGCATGCTTGCGGCCTCCCTTTAGGTAAGGCACTCGTTATTAGCCGTGCAGCCCTGCTGGGTTTCACAGATGGGGTTAAGGTGGCATCTGCTTTCTGAACATCCTTGTCTCTGTTGCTGTGAGTCCGAGGTCTTACGTGGGGAAGTTCTACCTACAGTTTTCCTTTAATAGCTAAACCACTGCAATCCCCTTCGCAGGTGCACTTATTCCAGTACAAGTGGCTTTAGCTTGAGGTCGATTAGCCACAGGTGAAACAAGCCCTCCGTTGGTTACAAAGAGGTGTACTTATATTAAAGAAAATGATTGAGTTAGAACAGGTGCAAGTTTACCGACAAGTTCCAAGTCTCCAACCATCACGTGGACCACGGCAGGGTCACTGCGAGTTCTCCACTGCTTTCACAGAAACCAGATTCCCCACCTGCAACCTGTTGAGACGGTTTGGAGCCAAAGAGCCAGTGCCTGAAAAAGCAGACCTGTGCCTCGCTCCGTGCTTGCAACCACACCCCAAATAGTGCATGAAGAAACATTCCCTGCACCACTACATCCACCTTCACCTTCCCAGAGCCATATAATCACGTGGCAATTCAGAGTCTGCATAAAGCATGCCTGGATTTAACATGTAATACTGGAAGGGGCTACTGTGAGGGCCTCCCATAAGTAGGAGTGATGGGACTCACATGCACCCTAATGAAGGCAGGATTCTGTGCCCGCACACCCTACCCCCAAATTAAGTGTAGGATAACTACAAAACCGGGTTCTAAAACAGGGTGGGAGCGGGGGGAAAAAGCAACTGCTTTGGTGCAAATAACTTTTTCTAGCTGAACCGATTCAGAAATGGAAAGGGTGACAGCAGGGCCAGCCAGGGAAATTAAGAGCCTAGCTGCCCTACAACAGGCTATCAAAAAAACCCCTTCCCTCCTCCTCCCGGGCTCTGGGTAGCAGCTGCAGCGCACTGAAACACGATGCATTCCCAAGCTCTCTCACTGGACATCCCCACGAAGATCTAGATGCCTTGTTTCTCCAGGAGGTTTTACACAGCCCAGCAACACCATGTTTGACTTGTTTTCCTTTTTAAATGGGGGAGACACCAGATACTTGCTCTGATGAAAGGGAGGTGCTCTGTGCATGAGCCCGCAAGGGTTAACCGAGCTGTTTATGCAGAGACAGATGTGAGCACGCATAAAGCCCCCTTTGTGCATTCGGGGAGCTCCACATCTGCTCCGCACGGCCCGACCCGGCTCGGGCGAGAGCAGCGGTCTCCTCTCCGTTCGATGTAAACAAAGATGGAAATAGACTCACAAATTTGGGAGTTAAAAATAAGCCAGGCAGGCGAAGCGCCCGCTGCATTTTGTTCTTCAATCTGACACTGAGCATGAATTCCTTTGAGAGGGGTTTTATTCCAGTTCGTATCAATATCTTCATTAAAGTTCTTGCCGTGTCACCCGCAGGCCTCTGGCGACTGCTCCTTAGTCCAACAACCCGTGCATCAACTGGAAGGCATCAGCTGGCTTCATCCTGCCGGGAACAGCGCAGACAAGGAGGCGACCAACAGCAATGCTGCAGTCCCAGACAACTCTCAATCACCACAACACCACATTTCCTCAGCGACACAGTCCCGGTTTGCATTTCAATGCTTTTCAACCGACTCTGCTACAACTAGAAATAGTCGCAGGGTTTCTAAAGTAAGCAAACAGCACATCGCATGAAAGGACTGCAGTGAGCCCACAGCTTGTGTAGGTGAAGCTGGCAGCACCACCTATCATTAGGCTGGCCTAACGCTTCCTATTCTAAGCCCCTGTTTCCAGTTGCTTACAATTTGGTTGGGCGGTTTTGGACTGCAGCTTTCTCAGCTCGTGACCGATTCAGGCCGACGTCGGCCCCAGCAGTGAAATCCTCTTTCCGAACCAAGCTAGGACATGGCATACTCTGCCCCTGTTAAGTACTTACAATTTTTTTCTCTGAGAAACGGTTGCCCTCTGGCTTTGGAGGGACCTGAAGCTTGGCAGGAGGTGTCCAACCCTTCATGGACGACGGCCAATATCTGCATGAAAATCCACCCGACTGGGCCAAGTTACAAACCTCTGGAATAACAATAGTTTGCACATTCTCCGTAGGGACTAGCTAGAGCTGGCAGCTGAGCATCCTGGACACTGCGTCTACAAGGGGCACATGCCAGCCTGGGGCCGGGCAGGACTTTCCATGCAATGGTAGCTCTGGGCTGTAACGGCCACATTGCTAGGCAGGCGAGAGTCTCTGCCCCGTGTTGACGATGACCACTCCCGGACGGGGTCCAGGCGGTATGGAGGACAAGCTGCTGAGTTCAATGCAGAGGAGGCAAGGACTGGACCAGCCAGTGGAGAGGAAGCATATCGAGACAGGGTGCCTTGGGGGTCTGGAAAACAACCCTGGGACAGGCTGGAAGCCAAGAC